TTGAACTTTAAACGCGTTTTTCTCAAAACATTGTTTTTCTGTTCGACCCGGGTCCTTAAATTCTAACATGCTGTTCTACACACTTAGAGTTCTCGTCGGTACTAACGAGAATTTTTTTCACCCCTAACATTTTATTTTACAACCCTTTCTTTGCTAAAATAAAAGGACTTTTTGTTATTTACCCTTGAAATTTACCTTCAGTAGTTCCGGCCAGAATGACATGTCTATAGATTGAGAATAATCAAGAATATTTCCTTTCAGATAACATCAAGTGCCAAAATCACCCGGGCTACCCACGTGCATTTTTTTTTTTTTGATGTTCCAACTTCTAGTGACATTATTAATAGTAATAAACTATTAAAGTTTTTCAAATAAATTTTTTTTTTATATTTTCAATATGTAAATAAAAACACTCTAACAAAACCACCTAACAAAAACCACTCTCCAAAGAAGTCATGAAAATAGGCATAAGTTACCAAACTACTACCTTTAATCGTAAGAACATTTCTCCTACTCGATTTTTGGTATAGCCTTTAGCTCTTTCAGCGATTTTCATGTATCTTGTAAAACGGCGGCCCTTAAGGGTTCGTTTTATTTTTGGAAATAGGATAAAGTTACACCGAGCCACTTCTAATGAAAAAGGAGGCTGGGGGATCGTTACATTATTGCTTTTGGCTAAAAATTTACGAGCCAGCAACAAAGTGTTAGCTTTTAACAAACGAGGGTCGCCAATTTCAGAAAAAACACGTCTGACCTTAGCGACTGCTATAGACAACGTAATGAATACAGCCAAAGCTTTTATCGTACTTCAGGGGCATGTAAATCAACATAAACAAAATTAACAATTGGAATTTCCAAACTATTCCCTTTATTTTGTGAACACCCCTCTGGTCTCTTAAATAGTTTGCGCTTAAAATAAAAATCTTACTAATTCTTCTGATGTTCTCAATTCGTGAAAATTGTAGATTCCGAATGACTTTGTCCGTGAATTTTTAGATATCGCATGAACAATTTGCACTGTTAAGGCAATAATCATAAAGGAGGTTAGTCTAACTAACGATTCTTTTCTATGCAAAGTTAGACATGGCAATATGCATGATTTAAAAATCTTAGGCATAGTTTTTAACCATACAAATTACTACTATTTGAGAGTTTTTTGACTTTATTGTCTTTAGAAGCAACACTGGATATTTGTATTTCAAAATAAATCCAGTAACATGTCTATGATAAAAAAGATTGTTGCCACATGTTATATATAGTTTTTATTAACCTTGCATCCGTGTGTCCACCAGACCTAAACTTCAATACGCATGTAATATTACAATTGAGGTTGGAATTAAAAAGGTTGTTGGAGATATAGCTAAGGAATATGTGGATATATTTGAAAACATTGTGCAAAGTGCGGCATACACTTGACCAAAAACAGTTATGAATTAACGATTATAAGCAGTGTTAATAACAATGAAAAAATAATATTTCATTTCGTGCTCCTCCATCCACTGTTTTCTGCGAACACGGCCAACAGTTCATCACAAAAGTATCTTAAAAAAATAAAACAAGGGAGGGGTAACTCCATTTCCAGCTCACATTTATTCATTTATTATAATGTACGTATAACGTAGCTGTTGGTATTTTTGTTTCTGTAGCTGAACAGATCTCGACGCTAAAAAACTTACTTGCCTTTCATAAGTAGCCTAATTCCGCTTGTATATGAATTGCACCCCTTGCGTCAATTGAGCGGCAGGAAGGTAATCTTTCGGTTATTATTATGAACCTAGTAACCTTAAGCAAAATTTTATCTTACTAGTTTTGAACATATGTAAGCATGCATCATTTCTTATCACTTTGTACAAATGATTTTGAGAATATTGAAGTCTTTAGACCGACAATCGAATGCTGCTGAGCACGCGGGACTACTTACTACAAATGTACGCCTATTTCATTGCACAAATTCATATAATAATTGACCTACATTAGCCACGCCTCTAATTATTTTTATTCTGATACAAAGGAAGCAAATTACATATATGAAGGTCTGTATATTTATGTGTATGAATTTTTCTCATTCTTTGGCATTGTGTCCCTAGGGTCTAATTTATAGCCAACAATATGCCTTTATTAAATGCTATAATATGTATATATAAGTGAGTATCGCGTACAGCTATAGCTATATACCATATATGTTAATTTATCTCTAACTCAAACTGGATACAACTTTGAATAAATTGGCAAATATACTTGAGCACACACATGCATTTGCATATACTAGGGTTGCAATTATATTTCGGGAACATTATTTGTTATATTACATATTTAGAGAATAAAAAGGAATATGATTTATCGAAAATCGCCTTATTGTTTTTTAAAATATTCTTTATCAATATCTGTACACTTTTTTGGCTGCAAAATGACCAGCCTTTCCAAAAACACAGGGAGCTATTTGCTTCAATGTACTTCGTGCGCGCGAACAACTTTTGTTGGATTCGACTCATCTGAAACCATACATAGAGTCGACTGCTGTTTACTTTTGGGCTCAGACGCATAAATTCACGATTCATCACCTGTCACGAAATCACAGACGTGTGTCGAAGCACCGCTATCGTAGTTATTAACATTTCTCTAGACCAATCGACGCAAACATTATTTAAGCGATTGACAAATTGTATGGGATCAAACGTGAATAGCTTTTTTTTCAAACAAATATTTATGCAATCTGGAATACTGGCTATAGCCGACTTATTTCTACAATATGTCACGTGACGTTCTTGCAATATTAGTTTGCGAACAATATCACTAGTTTCCAGAACAACAACTGATTTCGGGCGAACTTCACGAAATTCGTCTTGAAGTGCTCTACGACCTTGATTGAACTCACCATATCATCGAACTGAATTAAGTTCGTCGATACACTGTTGCTGAGTAATTCCATGTTGAAAGTTGTAAAAAATAATCGCACGATGATGTTCGTCATCTAATTTCATTTGTTATGCGAGATGAATATTTTAAGTTATTGTAACCAGTACAAATGCGCTCGTATGTCAAAACGTTCGTATGTCAGTTAGCAATACTAGAGTTGCCAAATCCAAAAATATAGAAGGCAACCTACGTATAAATCCGAACGGACGTTGTATGTACAGGCACATTAACATACCCCTGGGTAATGACAATAAAGGAAATTAGTACGAAAGCCAACTTGCGGTCAAAAGAGAATGAAGCCTTATGCATAGTTGACCAACTACAGATGAGAGTGATTGTAGTATGTATAAGCATAATTGAATCGCGGTTATTTCCGAATGCGTAATGTTTTATTGTCGGCTTGTGGTTAATATGCATATACATTCGTATATGTATAAATAATATAAATTGAATATATCATATATAGAATGCATAAGGATTAGGTATGGTACAGATATTATATATACATTTATATCGTATATTGGCATAATATTATATTTGTATTTGTGGATTAAGATAATATATTTTTAATTAGTTGCGCTGACATGATAAAGAAGAGTGTTCTCAACGATAGAAAACATGTTTGGTATTTAATGGATTTGTGAAATTTCACAATATTTGGAAATGCCAATGGAAATTTTTTTGTCTTATTTCAAAATTTCTTATTACATTCTACACAGGTTTTTTAATAAATAATAAATCTCTTAACTCAAAATATATTAACACTTCGATTTGAATGCTTGATACGTATCTATGTATGAAACTTATTATTTCCGCAATCATTGGACGTACAATACCCATAATGAATTGTTATATACCTTTTGACTGGATTCAAGAAGTAAAAACTTAAGTCTTGGAAACAAAAAAATTGTGGCATGAGGCCAAATCCGGTGAATACGATGTTTGATCGATGGTATTCAACGAGTTTCTGGTCTTAAAATCGTTGTACATGACGGTCTTTCTGCAAAAAATTCAGCTCTTTTGGAACAGGCCGAGCATGGCTTGACGCGTCTCATGCCCAAATTATCGGTCAAAATCAAAGGAGCTGCTTCACGTCCGATGATTTTCGAGCACGATTTGCTTCACTTTTTTGATGTTATCGTCAATCGTAGACCTCGAAGGATGACCGGAACGAGGCATGTCTTGGACGGTTTCTCGACCATCCCTTAAGGCTTTGTACCAATCGTAGACTTGGGTTTTCGATAGAATAGATTCACTATTCTAACATTCGCAACGACTCCGCACACGAAATTTGTTTCGAAATACAAAATTTTATTCTTAGGTAAAATTTTTTTTTTAATTAAATTCTTTGTTCAATATTTTTTTTTTCCATTGTAAAAATCGCAAAACTCTACTGAGGTCGACTGATTTCAACAGCTGCTGCAAACAAATTGGTTGACAGATCGCGCTCATTTTTGGCATAATAATTAAGGACAATGCTACGAACTTAACAAAAAAAATGGCTGAAAAATATTCAGCGCGGTCAGTTTAAATGAAAATTTCGGGAAACTTGCTGGTCGCAATATATATCAAAAGATAAGTGATCTAAGCCAAATCCAAATATTTGATACTCACTCAAATTGTAAGAATAAAGATATTCACATATTTTGATATGTGAAACAGTCTCAATTTTTCTGGTATCTAAAGCGTTTCCTTCTTTTTATGCATTCAATAATAGCGACCAATCTTCTGCAACCAATAAATAATTGCTAAACGAGTTTTTGCCACCAAAAGCCTTTTACAAAATTAAGAAGCCTTTCGAAAATGGCCTGATATGACAAGAGTTTACAAAACGAAGTATGATCTTTAGTTGGAAAAATTATTTCTTATAGTTTTATTAGAGAAAATCAATATTCGATTGGTTGAGACTACTTCTCGAGTTCTTGCTATTATATATACTTCTTTTTATGTCAATTTTAGCGCTTTATACCATACCAGTATTTTTTTGATTCTACACTCTAAGTATTATATGTATACACGTTTCAACTAACTTACTCTACTTACATTCTCTACTACCCAAACTCTTAACCTATTAAAAAGAATTGTTTCACAAGTAGTTGATTAAAGTTTTATTCATTTATTATATTATATTTTTATTAATTTCCATTAGACTTGCATACACTTTACTTAAAATTGCATGATTAACAACTAACAAACCAATAAACTGTAAATATAAAACAATCGGCACTTAGCGTAAATATCCTTGCTGTAAGCTACAGTCCGTGCGCGAGAAAAGTAATTTCGCCGTCTACTTGTCGCAACTTTATTGCACATTAAGCAACATCTACGGACGCAAACTTTGCGCAATCCAATCTGTATAATCGGCAACATGCGTATATACCGCTGGCCAACCTTCCAGACCGCAACGATTGCCAAAAGATACCACACCCTCAAGGTACCAGCGATTTTGAGCATTTTGGCGCATCAATGGACCACCAGAATCACCATCACAACTATCCTTGGAGAACTCACCGCCCGCGCATAGTTGCGATGTAATCAAATTGACATTTCGTGAGGAAAATTTACGCGCACATGAATCATGATCCACCACTGGCACGGCCAATTCTTGCTTGACATTACTCTGACGCGCTGTTGCAGACGAGCGAACAAGAAGCATACATTTAAGGTCCAACGATGAGGAAGCATGACGCACATAAAAATGAAATGAAAACAAATATTATAAAAAATGTCACATTGAGCAATGAAAATACACAAGCGTAAAATGTAAATATATACATATACACTTGTACATACACTACATAAAATGGGCTGAATCATTACTTGTGTGTGTGTGTGTGTCGGTGGAATTGTAGTTCAGCCAGTAACGTCTCGTCCGCCCGCTCTCAGCAACATGCTTACGCCTCTTTTTCAATTTACTGCTTTTGCCCAACTACCTTCACACTCACGCATACACACACACATACACTCATTTTTGCGCTTATCAACATATTTATATACTGGCTGATGCTTAATACACACTTACCCAATAATGTACGCCCCCAGCCCGCTACTGTGAGCAGCTCACCCACGTTAATGGCTTGACGTGTGCTGGCCAACGGCAGGCAAACTGGCCTAATGAAATCCGAGTATGTCACGTCCGCAGACATTCGTATCAGCGCGATGTCATGATGACGGTTATTGTTGTTGGGATCGTACTGTGGATGTGGCATCACCTGTTCATAGCCCATTTTTACAACTTTGTTGTTGCAATCATCTTGTATGCAATCGATTTCCTTACTGATATCATACTCGCCCAGATGAATCGTCGAGCTGCAGATTGTGCGGATTGTGGATTACGAAATTTCCGGTGTGACAACGGTCGCAGATAACGGTACGTATGAACGTGCGTACGTACAATGGTGGTTTGCGGTTTTTTTTTTGCGTATTCGCAAGTATATATGTATGATGGTAGTAGATGGTGAAATCCAAAAGAATCGGAAATCCATTCATTCGTGTGTAAATTGAAAAATACGAGGAATAAAATGAAATTAAATTCAAATTAAATAAACTTTAAGTGACGATATTGCTTTTGCGAAATGATGTGTGAAGTTATTGTGAATATGCTGGGTAATTTCAAATGTAAAGGGTGGTTCAATTGCATGCAGCATATTTTTTTAATAAAATATAATATTTTGCGAATCGAACTCCAATATTTTTCTATCAATCTCTGCCATAATATATACTATATACCCCTAAAGAACTATATACGATGCTTTGATAATTTTGAGAGCAACTAAAATCATAGTAGGTTGAAAACTGTTGTAGAAGGTAGATAAAATAATAAAATAAAAGGAAAACCACTTACTTGCGATCCGAAATCGGGAAGAGGAAGAGGAAGTGGTTGAATTTTCAAAGGTTAAAAATGGTTTATTTAGATTTCCAGCAAAACTACGGGACCTATCGAAACAAGTTATATGACTAAGTTGTAGGCAATGAAAGGATTAACAACTTTATATTAACAACTCTTTCACCTAACCTCGAAATTTATGTGAATAATGAAAATAGCCAATTTTTTGGTTTTTTATTTCAAGAAATTTGTTGTAAACTGACTTATTTATGTTCGCAACACACTTAACTTAACTTAGCATCTTAGTTTTTTCTCCATATTTGGACTTAAAATCGAAAAAATCTTACTTGTTAATTAAAAAAATTTTACTTAAAAATATCATTACTATGGTAAGTTTTCTCAGAAAATGCAAAACAATATCTCAATAAAAAAGCAGTTTTAAAAATGCAAACATTTGTCTAGCCTTTCTAAGAACTTGGAGAACGGTTCTTCCCTCTGTCTTATAATTAGCCTGCTCAGTGCTGTAAGGGCTTAAAGTCCTAATAAATTGTTTCTGTAACTTTTAGTCAACAAATGCCTAAAGCAATAAACTACAACACAGAAGAATCCAATTATACTTATGCTACAACCATTACCGAAAATTCCTCTAAAATAAACAAAATATAGTTTGTGGGCCAATGTGGTGTTTTAAAGTTACGTTATGTTTTATTCTTTATGGACACATACTTGTAGGCTTTTTGGAAATCATTTATCGAGCTCATTCACGTTATTTATGATAATTTATCCAAACTTAAAATGTTAAATTTTTTCCAGTTCAAAATTATATAATCTTATGATCTTAAATCATTTTGCGACACAATTCTTTCCACTTCTGTTTTAAAACTTTTAAGCAATAAACGAGAGTCCGCTTTTTGTTGTATATAATATATAATACTAACATAGCTAGCAGAACACTCTATAATTCCTGGTTATATTGAACAAAATAGTATAATATACACGCCCGCCTCCCATAGAATAATTCTGTTCAGAACTACTAAAAGTACAATAACCGTTTGAACCGAGTTTAACCAATTATAAAAAATATTAGTATCAACAACTGTGCAGTTAACTAAGTACTCGTATATAATGAGTATAAATATCTGAGTGAAATTAAATACTCTTCGACATATGTACTACAGTTTGATGCTAAGCATAATTGAAATTGGTGCATACGTTTGCTCTCTAAACAAATACCCAATTCAATTATTTTCATCCTAATATTCATATTTTCTTAAGCAAACAATGACTTAGTTTTAAAAAAAGCCTTATTTTACCCCTAATATAGCAACAATGCAGCTACTTTCAATTATTATTGAAACAAGCAAGTATATAACCTTTAATATAATGCGATTGTGCACTATAAATTAGTCTTCTTGGTAAATACCTTTCCCAATCACTAATCAAGAAAATTTTCTTCTCAAAAAAACATTTTATGTAGACATAATCACAAAGGACACTTAAAATCTGCAATACTAAATAACGTTAATCAAAATTTGTACTATCACAATGAATTCAAATTCTTCATATTCTTATGAAATTTATGGCCCAATAATACTGGCTACAACAGGAAAATTCTTGTTAAATGTGTTACACATGTATAGTACCATATAATACACGTACTAAATATTCCCAATCAGCTAGAAAGTTCTTATTAAACCTGCCTGCTTAGGTTGTACATAATATTTATGTAATACGTCTGAAAATTTAGCTGATTTTCCATTAAATTGTGTAATGAATAAATTACCATAATAAATCAACTACACGGAAATAAAGAAAAATTATGATTTATTCTTTACTGCTGATTAGCCTAAAACGGCATATCCATAGATTTCGATACATTGTTTTCAAATTACAAAGCAAATTAAGCAAATTTCTATGTGAGCGCTTGATCGCCTCGCACAGCTATTAATCCATTTGGAAATTATTTGTGAAATTAAACAGAAATTTAACTAAATTAAACTGAAATATGTTTATTAGCCATTAAATTATTACGAGTGTTTGAGCAAAATACTCACATAAACATAAAATACTCGTCAAGCCGCATTTATGCAGACACATTTAAATAGGAGCATATCACCGTATGTGTGTGTTGATCTGTTTCAGCTTGGGAGAAATATATAATGCGCTTTAAATGGTATAACATTAAATGCTTGGCATTCGAAAATCACCCAAATCAATTATGTGCGATAACAGCATTTTCTGATCTAAATAATTTTGCCAGCGTAGCTTTATATGGTGGAGTGCAACAGTTGCTGATTAACTTTATTTCCAGGAATTTGATTTATTTACAATATTAAAATTTTAATTGAATCCAAATGCATTGTGTAAAGCTGTCTGCTATGAGAAAAATTGATTGCACCAGTAATTATAATAAATGAATTCTATTGCGCTAATGTTGTTGTAGTTGTTGTAGCGGCAGGTAAAAATTGCAAAAAAGAAGTTTTGAGCAGTGCTGCGGAGCATATAGTCATTGGTCGGATAAAAAAAGGAAAATTCCTGCACGCCATGGCGTATGAGTTACTGATGCTTGGTGAAGTTATGAAGTGCACCTTTTTGTACATATAATATTTAATCATATAAAGCAGTTGCTGAGTGTTGCTTATTAACGCAGAAAAAGCATAAATTTAAATATTTCCTATGTAAAATAAAACTGTTGCTTATTTAATTGGTTTTATATGTATTTGTTCTGTAAATTTTGGCCTTCAGTTCTGCAAGCAGTGCAGTTGAAACTATTCTCTGCTCTTAAATTGGCTCTATTGGAGCTATTTTTTAATTACAAAAACATATATTTCCGTTACGTCGCCAATTGCGACCTTTTTGAGAAAACAAGTACTGTCAATGATGACATTTAACAACATTTGAGTGAAAAGATAATCTAATTTTCCTTATATGCTAGTCTTTAAAGTCTCAGAGGACATATTTACTGAACTTTTTGTAAATGAAATAAAAGAAAAGTTACGGTGAACGACTTGCTCAGACACAATTTTAATTTCAACTTCGGAAATAAAATAAAAATATGTTAATGTGCAGAAAATAAAATTGATTTAAACAAAACAACGTTATTCAAAATTCATTTCATAATTTCCCCGAAAAAAATCTTGGAATGAGTTATTTTTTGTGCACTTCAGAGCCGTGTAACCCCTACCAGAATTCAATATAAACATAACAAGATAATTCAAGATACCATACATTATGTCCCCGGAAAAAAATGTAAATGCGTTATTTTTTTTGCACGCCTTAGAGCAGTTTCACTGGCCCATTTTTATATTTTTTTTGTCACAACTTTTCCTCAGTTGAAAGCTACAAAGCATAATGCCCTATAAAACGAATGATTTACCGCAGCTTGCCAACATAAATTTTTAAAATTTTTTAGAGCAATTTTTATCATAACACTTTCAGTTTATCAATTTCATTAACAAAAATATATATATTATATTTTTTTATTATACAAGTAAGTACAGTAAGTCTTTGCACAGTATTGAAAACCCAGTTGTAAGCATTTTGCTTTTTTAGTAATTTGGTGCCAGTAATATTCCGTTTTGCCAACATTTTAGACTTACTTATATACTTACTAGGCGCCCTCCGCTGAGCTCCGGGACGCTCGGTTCGCTCGCTCGCCTACGTCCGCCCCCCGCCGAGCGCGAGCTAGCTCGCTCTTATGTTAGTTGATTCTCGACAGCAGCAGAAAACTTTTATATATAATAGAGAGATGTACTATACCTTTCTATCGAAACTATTAAATTGAAAGATTAGTATTTCTTGTGAGAATTCGTACTGCACATTGGAATGAACAGATCTTTGCACTTTTTCCACACACGAGCATATAAATCGAAAATTGAATTACCACATAAAAGGCTTACGGTTATTTTAGCACGCAAACATATCAGTTGACAAAGTTTGCATTTATATCCTTACTTATTGAGGTAGAGATATCATATGTTAATGCAATTATGGCCACACTAATGTTGTTATATGAACAAATATTTCTATATAGATAAATATATGTAGGTAAATATGTATGTGCGTATTAGTGTGTAATCTATTCCATAAATATGCCAGAGCACGTCTACTTACAGTGGACCAATTTCCGTTTCGATAGCTCCCACAACACAGTGTCCTGCTGTCAGCACATAGCGTTGATTTATCAAACTGCCGCCACAATTGAGTATAGGCTTGCCATTCTCTGTGTAAGTATGTACAGGGAAGTGCGAAAATAACAACAGCAAAAATAAACGAAAACAAGAAAAAATGTTAACTTCGGTTGCACCGAAGCTATAATACCCTTCACAAATACAAGAATTTGTTTCCGATCGTTCAGTTTGTATTGCAGCTATATACTATAGTAATCTGATCTGTACAATTTCTTCGCAGATTACATTGTTGCTTCAAATAATAATCCATGCCAAATTATGTGAAAATTGTTTAGTTTTTATGGCAGCCATATGCCATTGTGATCCGATATTGGCCATTCGACAAATGAGCAGCTTCTTAGTGATGAAAGGTAAGGTGTAAAATTTCAGATCGATAGCTTAAAAACTAAGGGACTAGTTCGTATATATACAGACAGACAGACGGACATGGCTTAATTAACTCAGCCCATCATGCTAATCATGTATGTATATACTTGTATTATATTTTATAGGATCTCCGACGTTTTCTGCTGGGTGTTACAAACTTCATGGCAAGCTTAGTATACCCTGTTCAGGGTATAAAGACGGTATTAGTATGAAAGACATTGAAATTCAAATCAATAACGGCAATTTAATCTACAACAAACAAGAAATAACAACAATAGCAACAGAAATGCTATTAGTTGCCTTCCCCTCCAGCTATAAAGCCTCACACACACACACATAATACATGTACACTTACTCTGCATATATTCAAGCAAGACCATCCATGGATATTGATCCAGTGCCGTGTCTTTACCATTGTATATTTTATCACTTAATGAAGTTGGTCCACATTCGGGCGGCACCGGTAACACATTGCCTCTGCCATTGCTTGGCGTTGGCGGATTGACGGTCGATGGGCGACGTGTTGTCGTTGTTGTTATTAAAGTCGGATTTTGGTCATCATTCGACGAAACGTAACCTTTATCAGGCGTACAACAGACATACGGTGAACGTCCATAACCGTTAACGCACTGAGATTTCTGCAAAAACTCACGATCCGCTATACCTAAGTTATAGCGTTGTACTACTTCAAGCAGACTGGGGCATTCGTAAATGGAGACACAATAACCCACTTTGGCATTCGGATTGCGACAGCGTGCTAATCAAGTATAAGAGTTGAGGAAAACACGTGTTTGAGTGAGCGTAACTGTTTTTAAGAGCATACAAGAGAAAAAATGGCGTAAAAGAGAGCGTATAAAATTTACGTATATTGTGCTACTGAGAGCACAACACGCGCAAGTATAAAGAGAAATGAGAAAATTTCCCAAAATGCTTCGGCGCGTGCACGAATCTCTGTTGAGAGCAAGCAAAAGACGATAAGAAAAACGACAACAGCTGCAGTGGCGGCAGCAGCTGGGCGCTACTTGCGGAACAGCATCTGTAGGCTGCTTCCGAATGCCACTATTACACGTTACGCTCCAGTCAAGCACCCTCCCATCGTGAATTGTCGATGTCGCTGTCGTTGTCGTAGTCGTTGATGTTGTTAGTATGACAGTGGCAATGGACTCAACTAAAACAGCAATTCGCATTGATTGCATTGAACTTTGGCGCTTTGTTTGTATTATATTTTTGTTATTTGCTTAAATCGGTTTCTTTTCTACTCGTCTTATGTTGCCCTTTTTGCGGCTTTGATTTGCTTGCTATTACCCGCGCCAATGACTCACCGACTGGTGGGATTTGCGTAAATGTGCGACGACAATGATACCAACAATCGACACTGAGCTAACACAAACTAACAAGCCAGTAGATAGGCGTCCAACCAGCCAAGCAGCCGCAACGCTTATAGCGGCAACAACAACAGCAACAATAAACCATTTCATTCAACTCAATTACACTAGCAACTTTATGTTGTAAGATTACTTGTAATGATAATACCGAAGTTAAATACAGAAGAATTATGAGTAGCTGCTGGTTCGTGGCCTCCGTGTATTGAAGCCTATCTACTGATACTCTATGCATACAATGGGCAAGAACAAAGTAAGGAAAAAGGAAAAAATAAATTGCGTTTTCGGATTGAAAGTATTGTAGTAAATGGTAAATGGGCATTAAGGCGTATGACAGGATATTTATATCGATCGTGTGGCTCTAAATTAGCTTGTTTCAGGCAATAAACACAAATTAACGGTTTCTCTGATTAGCACGCACCTAGTGATTGCCTCAAATGTTGGTATTAAGCGCTTTATTTTATCTCAGCAGCCCTAAAATTGCGCTAAATCACATTTCGTGAAAAATTTACGCTGTCGAAGGAGCATTCATTATAAGAAAATTTACATTTGCATTACATAGATTTGAAAACAGGGGACTTTAATTATTTGACTAAGATTAGTTGAGCATATTTGCAAGGAAATTTTTTGATAGATTTTGCTTTATGATAGCAATAGATTTTATATCAATTGGGACCATATGTCAGCAATAACGCGCCGAATATAGGACAATCGTCTCGGGCTAATCTTTTCCAGATATGTTAAATCGCACGAGAGATATACGAAAAATAATGCGCTCACCAAAAGTATCTTTCAATAAATTGATTGTTTTATTAGTTGTATGCTATGCACGTCGCCATTTTGTTAGAAGCAAAAGTCGTCCAAATAAACATCCTCCAAATCAGGTACGAAAAAGTCATCATGGCTCTATAGCGTTAAATATAAACTATAATATTATATAATGGCCGGTTACATTTTTGAAGAAGTATGGACCATTTTCCCATAGAGCACACCAATCAGTGACTTTTTTAGGATGTAACGGCTTAACATTTGCTTGTGAATTATCATCACACCAGATGCGACAAGTTTGTTTATTAATCTACTCATTCCATCAAAAGTGAGCTTCATCGCTGAAAAAGTTCTTGTCAAAATTGGGAACGGTGGCCATTTCGTTTTATGCTTCAATTAGTGAATACGGAAAAGCGTATGCCATTATCAGCTGATAAGACCTATGTTATGAGAGCGTTTCTACCGTCCGCTTCTACTGTCCGTAACTTGGAATATCTTAAATTTTTTCCTTAAAAATGAGTCAACTGTTTGCACTCCTACAACACAGTAATTTAAAAGTAAACATTAATATATTTGAAATATTCTTAAACTAAAAATGTTTAATATTATATATTTTTAATAGCATAAATAGAATTTTAGTCTTGATCTTTTACATTAAAAAATTTAATTTGATACGGACTGCAAGCACGAAATTTCTGCACGTCGGTAATTAGTTCCAGCATTAGGCGCATACACCGAATGGTCGTTCGACTTCATTTCTTGAACTAGCTGGATTTTGTAAAAACGTATACTATAATACTTCGGAAATTCCATACAGTGGATAACCACAGCTCAAATTGTTGCGCGCGTGGCGGATGGACCCATTCGGGTCTTCTTTGATTCTTCCTACACATTATCAACTAAAGTAAACGTATTGTGAAAGCGACCCTTTGAAGCTGATTATAAATCTAGTAACAGTTGTTAAAACACCAACTTTAAAAAGTATAGCTTCATTACAACCTCAATGTGCCTAAAAAAACACACCCTTATTTAATTGAAATGGAGACTCTACAACTGACGCAACTTATAGATAGCTCGTTTAATTGACTTAACTTTTCCGGATATTTTGGCTGAAATTCTTCACAGATATCTAAGAATATGCCACTTATTTCAATAATAAATATTATATATCTATATACTATATATGTTTATATACATATAATATATGTATATAAAAACTTTTTAGGTCAATATAAGATCTACAAAGATCATTATGTTTTTCCTCATACATATATCGAAATTAAATCAGCGTCAAAAAAAAAATTACAAACTCGCTTTTTTCAATTTCACACCTTCACCGTTATAAGAACATAACCCTTAAGTGAGTTAAAAGAGTTCGACAAAACCCGCTGCGTTCCTACTTTTCTTTGAAAAATTACTTACTTAAAAGATTCTTACATGTAGATCTGCAGTTTTGGCTGAATCAGTCATTGCATATTGAATGAGTCCGCTTTTTGCATTTAAGTTCACAGTCAAATAAATGAACGCAATTATTCGATTTTTATAATATTTTTATAATAAATTTTTATAATATATATATTCATAAATGCGTATGTATTAATAAATTCTCAGTTCTTCAGTTAGAGAAATATTTAAATTTATTGAAAAATTATTATTCTGACAAAAAATTCTCTTTGAAGGTATTAAATTTACTTTTCGATAGCGTAAACAAAATTTATGACGACTACTATAAACTGTTTACCGTCGTATCGAATAAGTCACAGCAGCAACGTTGTCATTTTGTTACACATTTTGCTTTCATTGGGATACCAGGTTGTCGATATTGAGTAGTTGTTGTAAAGTTTTGACCAATTTGAAAGCACAAAAAACAGTATATATATTCTCCTACAGTCGCTATTCGCTTTGTCTTATTAGTATACACACTCTCCTCTCTCTCAATTTAAAAAATTAATTAATTAGTTCGTATAAAAGTTTCGAATTCTACTTCGTTAAAGTTATCATCATCATTTTTATAAATTTATCTATCAAAATCAATTACATTGTCCGATAACTAATAAAGACATATTCATTAAATGCATTGTATTTTACATTATAGCAGCTTCCAATTATTTTAAAATAACTACAAGGTTTTTAATTACCGTGGTTCAAATGAATTCAACTGAAAATATGAGTAAAGTACAATCAAATTACAAAACAATTTATTGGGATTTCGCATGGTTTTAATTAACGAAATCGGTACTTCATTTATGCATACTCACTCGAAATAAAAATGCATTATATTCGCGTCTATTAACAAGGATGGGAGAGTTAATATTTTTTTTATTTAGCACGTATTCGCAAAATTACAATTCGCTTACAGTATTTATATGTGTACTAAATTTTATACAATTAGCGAACATGCGAATATAAAATAATTTTAGTTTTTAGTAAAGTTTAATTTTGATTGAATTCACAGAAGATGGGTTGGGACTACTACATTAGAGTGAACTCAGTATTGATTGGTTTGCGGTTAGAAGCAGACGAAAACTAGAAAAAACAATCACTTCGGTTGCACCGAAACTAGAATATGTCTCAGAAATAAAAACGTTTTCATACAAGCACTTTATTTTGATCATTCAATTTCTTTGCCAGCTATGTGATATAGCTGTTCCGATCTAAAAAGTTTCTGCGAACATACACGGATATGACTGAATCGTCTCAGCTCGTCACAATGCTCATATAAATATATAGACTTTATAGGCTCTCCGACATTTCCTTCTGGGTGTTGCAAATTTAGCCTGTTGCGAAATATTCACCGATTCACGCGACTATTTGTGCTCTGATTTATCCAATCTTACATTTGACTAAGTACACACACCATTATTATCAACGCTTTACTGTGTTCTTAATTAAATTAGGGAAACAATTTCATGCATCTTTTAACACTTTTAAGTCTGCACAACAGCTGTGGTTTTGTATGAAAAGTTAGAGCAAAAATTTTTTCTACGTCTACTTTACTTGTTGCTGCCACAAAACCACACACATACGCATGCAAAACTCGCAACGCTAAATATTTATAGCGGCTGTGTGTTGTTTTTGTTGCTGCATGGCTATTCTAGATAGCTTAAAATAGCCACTGAATATTTAATGCTCCAATTCCCCTTCGTAGCACTTTTGTACACGCATCCATACAAATGTTGCGGTGGTTGCCCACCTTCCTGTCGTTTATCGCCTGTCGCCTGCCTCCTGTGGCGGCCTTGTCACACGCCTGTCGTACATATGTTCGATGAAATTGTGCTTACTTAGCTTGTGCTTAAATGTATTTGTATGCTAACGTATGTGCGTGACACATATGTGATTATATATTATTTATGCATGTGTGCGGTGAGCATGAGTATGCAAGTACGCACATACATACTTATACCATACATATTTACGCATTCCAGGTACTTACCCTGCGCTGTGACCGTCGCAAATAACGCAGCGATGAAAACAAGGCAAAATAGCCATTGCGGCATATTAAATTGTGCGGATTTTCCCACATTGAATAACCGCATATTGAGCGACTTTTATTTGCGTTTGATTGTTTTTGTCTGTTTTTTTGTTTGTTGCTCACGTTTGTGTTTGTTATTGTTTTCACTTTTTAAATCGGTATTTTTGTGTGTGTGTATGTGTGAATTTTTTTGTTTATACAATTATTTTCGGCTTACAATAATTTAATTATACGGCGCAAATTAGTTGAAAAACTATCTGCATACACATTCAACTTCATTTATTAACTTTCATATCATAAATATCAATATTTTATTAAAAACCAAGAGTAATTGGCTGAAAATATAATTTTAATTTATTTCCCACATATAAGTTTCACGAAATTCGTTTAAATTCTACTCCAACGTTTCGCCAGCAACTGAGCGTATTTGATCGCTAACGCTGAGATTATAAATGTCAGACATATAAAACTTTGATATAAAACCGGCCGATCGATGAGCTACTACTTGTAGTATAACGCATCCGACGAGAACACAAGTCTATATTTACTAACATCTGCATGTTTGTACGTATGTGTATGCTGACCCAGCATCGTGTTGTGATAATCAAGACAGACTTGTATTCTATTTGCATGCACAATAGCTCATATACACATATGTACATATGTATGTATGTATGTGTATGCATTTAGTATATACCCGAAGCGTGTTCTGCTCAGCAAGACTGTAATCAAGATGAAATCGCTACAGTTTGTTGCTTTTATTCATGTCTCCACCTCACCTATCGATTGATAAACTTGTCATGTTTGCTGGCGTTTTCACTCGTTCTTATTGTTTACTTTTGGTACATACTGCGCTTCATCAGGTTAGCACAACTCGGTTTTAAACAGTTTTGTTAATTTATATTAAAACCAACGAAGCTAAAACTCCAAAATTATTAGCACTTATTATTAACTCATCAATTTGCTACTAAGACAGCAATTAGTGTTATACCTTTTTCTATTTTTTTTTATAAAATTTTTCCAAAATCAAGAGAAAAATTAATAATTTAAATTAGGTATTCAGGTTAGCATATATCGCCTTTTTAGTGTATTTAAACATTTTAAGCAGGAACATATTTCAAAACCCTTGTGTGCAGTAATTAATTTAAACATTTGTATATTATTTTCATAGTGATCTGAAAGATGCAATAGGGTAGCGATTCATGCAATTTTCCAATATAATTTAAGGAAATTGATAACCTTTCGTTTTTAATACCTTCAAATAATTCCTATTTAGTGGAATAATGCCGACCAGCTTGAAAACTTTGCAATCCAACCATCCCCACACCTTTTCTATTAAATTGATATCCAGTGAATAAGGCGAACACTGCATTTTATCGAAAATGTGTCCTTCAGCATTTGCCCGTATCATAGCAGTGGATTCATGAGCGTTATAACGAGACATTCCTATCGCAGGTTTTCTTTACCAGTTATTGTTCATACATAGACGAAAAAATCTGAAAGCAATGAAGTAGCTGCAAGTTATTAACAAAAAACAGAAGCAATTGTATTAGGCTAATGAAGGTGTACTAATCTGGTGACTCGCAGTGTATACTACATGTTTACTACACATATTCTTTCGGACTATACGCTCATCTTTATGCGTTGAGTATGCATTGAGCGCTGTTGCTGAGATTCCTAAAACTCATTACCAGTTATGAATTTTGTTGATTACACTGGAAAAAATCAACACACACAGTTGCGTGTCATTTTTCAGCAATAGCTCATAGGCATATCAAGTTGATATATTGTACATACATATTTATAATGAGCTAAAGGCTATTGTTTTAAACTGATATTTTTTGCAACTACAAACACGTACATCTTTTCATACAAACAGATGTACTTATTCACATATATACATACATACGTTAGTATATAGAAACTTATAATATATATTATATAAATGATGAGCTGAGTCGTGTCAGCTACTCATATGGGTATATCCATCTGTCTGTCAGCCCATCTGTCTGTAAATACGCGAACTAGTCCCTTCAACTACTGAGTTATCGATCTGAAAGTAGTTTACCCCAAGAAGCCACTCATTTGTCGGAACCGCTGATATCGGACCACTAAAACATATAGCTGTCATACAAACTGAACTATCGCAATCTAGTTATTTTACGAAAACCTTTTTATTTGACATTGTTATTATTGTTCAAGACAACAGTAAAGTCTTTGAACAAATTGTTCAGATTGAACCACTTTTTTATAGCAGAGAGTTGCCATACAAATTACACGGTCCTAATCAAGCCATTGTATGGAAAACTCTTTTATTTGTGAAATATCTTGCTTTAAATAATTTTAAGGGATTTTCCCTGCGCAGCATTTATCGCTCTCGCTATTGTCTATTACCGCAACTTGTTGCTAATGGCACTTTTTAAAGCTTATTTTATTTTGTTTGCTTATCACTGTTTCATTTGACACACGCAACAGCACGAACGATTACGTATGTAATAAATTGTCAATTGCGTTATTTGCATTTTAATTTTTTTCCCAAAGGTAATGACTTTTGCGGTAGTCAAAAAGTGATTTGCCTTTTTAAACAAAAAGCTAACGGCTAAAAAAATCATATTCAAGTGTTAAATGAAATTAATTTGCAGAATTAAAAAGTAAAACCTCAAAAAAATATATATAATATATGTACTTTTAAAATAATAAATACTTAAAAATGTAATTCGTGCTAAATAAATATAAATAAAAAAAAGAATCTTCCAATATTCGAATAAGAACAAATAAGTTCTGATTCTTTTTGAAACTGTGGGTGGACTTTTATAGAAAAGTTTTTGTTCTTCCAGACAACTCCATCAATGTCAGTATACATATTATATAATATGTCAGTATTTATATAACAACAACCAAGAATATACAAACACATATAACTGATACAGAGCACGTCTCAAAAACAGCTTAACACTTTCAGAGAGTCTTTGAAGAACGTAAGTAATTCACGCGAATAATGCCATGGCGATGTATGAGCGAGACTTGCATATGGTGAAAGATGATAACTACCCTCACTGTTCATGCAATTTCAATTGATATTATCTTATTAATTAAATTGCAACTTTGGTGTCAAAATAACCATTTATATTATAAAATATTAGACCGTCTTGTATAATTTAACTATGAGATAGTTGGGATGCCAAAGTCAGGCAGTCTTATATTATATATGTAGTCTTGGATTCACCAAGCGTTAGAGAGCAGCGAATCGAACACACTATGTCAGATGTTCAAACAAACAAGCAGCACTATCAGTGCAACCCTGTGTTAACTTGGTTTATTACGCAGGCATTTTTGTGGATTTTTATTAACGTCATATTTATAAAATATATGTATAGGTATACACATATTGTCATTTTGTTGCACTTTATTATGTAAAAAAAGTATATCTTTGCATATCATGAGTTCATTAAATAATATTTTAACTATGAATTAACATTTCTTGAGTATTTTTTTCTAATTTCGCTAGGAGTTCCTTTGAATGGCTAGCAAATTCCACATTTAGTATTCATTTAAAAGAGATTTAAAAAGATTCAAGAAAATATATTTATATCAAACGGTTTTTTATTTCTAGTAATTTTAGAATATGAATAAAATATTCTCATTCAAAATTTTTTTATTATGAGCATTTTCATTTTGATATATTTATTTCTTTGCACACACACAATTATGTCTGATGATATGATTTTGTTGAGTTCCCCCTCCTTACCAGCTATTGGGTATATGTATTTGTTTATTAGTAGCAATTTAGTATCTAACGATATACATTTTCGACCCACTTATTCACTAAAACCGAACGAGTTTAACACACAGACAAAATGCCGAATAAACTACTTTCTGAGATCAAAAAACTAAATTCATATACATATTATAATAATAATCTGTAAACTACAACTTGATTACTGAAAGTAGCGCCAAATTGCAACAACACTCTTTTCACGCTCGCATCAAGCAATCAGCTAATGACTTTGATGAATGTAATTCGAAATAAACTGCTCTTTAAGCAGACATATTTAAAGCATCTCCATAGACAGTTGAAGTATGTTCCATCCGCTTCCAAATTTTGTAATTCACTAACTAAAATGCTCTCGCACTTCTCAGACATGGAAATTTCGCAGTTAGCATTCAGCAGTCAGCCATCAAGACAGATGTTACAGCATGTTACAAGCGCGTTGTAAATAAACTTAATTAGCTGCTTGAAATTCCAGTTCGCAGTTCATTGGCCAATTACTTGTACTTGTATACGAATGCACGAGCTAATTGTATGCCGTTACGCGCCGATGATGCAGGCGCTGCAAAATGACTTTAACAAACGCGATTGCCAATGTTTTGGAAACAACTTAGTATTAAGATATTATATTATACATTATCATACAAACTTTTATACCCTGAATGGGGGTATATTGAGTTTGCAAGGAAGTGTGTAACACGCAGAAGGAAAAGTCGGAAACTCTATAAAGTATATATTTCAATGATCAGGGTGGCGACCTGTTGTATTGAAAAACATTTTTTGTGTGCTGTACTTCATAGACATTTTTCAAAAGAAGTGTGATATTTCAGTAGTTGCTCTTGAATTTATTAACAATATATATTGAATTAAGACATTGAAAGGCTTTGCTTTATATCTGATGCCAACACATTGATTTATGATCATAAGTTTCAAAAAATCTTAATTATTACAAGATTTCTACGTTTCACACTTGAAAACTTGTGTTATTGAAGTAATATTTTTACATAAAGTACAAGTAGTCTCAACACAAAAACGTGTATGCAACAGATTCCGACAAAGATATTAAGCTGTCAAGACATCATTGCAGATCAAAAAGTTTATTTTTCTTACAAATTGTTTTACTTTAAGAAATAAACAACGCTAGAAGTTGTGCTGTAAACTCCCATTTTAGAAAAAAAACAATTGAAAATTCACTAGTAAGTATCATATCAGCTTAAGTCATTGCTTTTCGCTATGTTTACAGACGATATCATAAAATTACTTTGGCCATTTACTTATATAACAAAACGTCGCTAAGAACTGAGTAATTTCCATTGAAACTGAGTTGATTTTATTCTTTTTATTTCCTCACTAAGTAAATTATTGAACTTTCTGAAAAGTAACTTTGCGCAAACGAGTCGAGCAACTGATTGCCTAAACTAGGGATGACATTTTATTTTCCCAACGTTTCATACAACTTGGCAACTCACCTTACAGCAGCCACTAGTTCACTGCCAGCCACAGCTGTTGCTATTTCCACAGCCTTTCGCTTGAAGTACAAACCATTTGGCAAAAGCGTTCGTCGTTCGCCAACTGCCGTTACTCTCTAACCAAAGGTCAGTGCACACTCAAAGCAAAAACATATACTCGTACATAGTCACATAAATACACAAATATATGCACTGAAATACACAAATATATAAACACAAAATATGACCACTAAAAAGGATTGGAGTAGTCTTGCGTGTCTGTGAGCTTGTGAGTGTGTGGAAAGTGCGTGCGAAAACTTTTCGGCGAGTCATTAACATTTAAACAAAATTTTCAAATGGAATGAAAACGAATGTTATTTCCCATTAAACTACACTTAACAGGGTGCACAGTGTTAATACCGCTCTACCTACTTACATAATAAGTTTCTAGTATATAAATAATGCATAAAGTGTATGTATTTGCTGTATATGTTTTTTGTAGCTTACGGCGTTTGTGGCGTTGCTAATTGCTGCCATAAGTATATTTATATATATATATTTTTCATATTCAGTAAATAAAACATATATATATATATATATATAGTGTGTTTTTTGTGAGCTTCAGAATTTATTACTGCGATAGCTGTCATATCCGCTGTCAAAGGAAATAAATACATACATATGTTTTACAGATACATGTTGACAGATGTGCATTATTTGTTGGCAAACTACACATCAAATGCTTACACCAAAATAGGCTTTAAAAAATGTGGAATTTTTTAATTTACCAGTTCTGTGCGAAAAACATATTTTTTTACATTTTTAAAGTCAAATCATCTTCAGCGAACACATAATTTTGGTATAATCTCTGAGTACAACTGCTCTCAGACGTGCCACCCGAACACAAACGGCACGGTGCCTTCGTTTTTCGTCGTCGTCCCCTCGCCTACAAAAACCAGTTTGGACGGCAAAAGTTCGCGTGTGAACATAGTCTCAATAAATAGAAACACTAGAAGTCTTCGATTTGCAATTTCTCGAAAACTCAATTGATCCAAAGTAGTATGAGGATATCGCATTAATTTTATAATTAAAATAAATTATATTTATTTATAAAAATACAAGACTCGAAATTAAGAAGTTACTAAAATGCTTTTTGTCACCAAAAGCAAAATAGACGAATCAAATGTCTTTCGAATGTGAGCAATGCTGAGCAGACTTTAAAGGCTATATTTTATCAATCAAAAATTATTGCGTCATAATTTATTGAAGATATAGATAATTCGCTGATTTTTGGTTAAGGCTAAAACAAAACAAAAAAAAACATTCTGTCCAAGTTTCAGAAACACTGTAAAACAAATTATAAAGCCGAATACTAGTCGAAAATGACATTAGCCGTCTCAACGAATTTGAGATAGGCTCAAAGCGCTTATTCGATTTGTACGGGTCTTATGATCAATTATGGTATATAGCAGTTTTAGGTACCTCAACAGATCGGCAATTTAAGCTATTTAGGTGAGATCGCTGTTAGGAACGAACTCTTAACATAAGCTAATCTAAGTCATAAAGTCGATGAAACCGGCACTTAATTGTGACACATAATTTTGAGCGAATAATATTAAGGAATAGACCACTAAAGAACATAGTCTTTAGACTTTTGACTACTTTTTGCAGAGCCAACCACGACGGAATTTGCTAAAAAACAACAATCAGCGCGTTATTGATGAATTGGATGCGCTATGCTGGAAAATGTGTTAGAAAATTGGACCAATAGTGCGGACTTCATAAGACGCAGTCGCGTGTGCTTTATGTTCGAGATTCTTTTTGACCTAATGTCATAAATTTTTAGAAATGTTTATGTATAGTAGGATATTGACAATTTTTATCATGCTTCTTCTATTTGTATTATCCTAAAAAAAACACCCTTTATGCAAAAATAGCGAAAGTTGGCATTACAGGTAGACATTTGTTGGGAATTGTTAAATTCGGTTGACACTGCTTGCAATGTGCAATTTGGCGGAAAAGTTAATTTGTCAGAGTGTGCAAAAAATAACAACAAACACAAAAGACATATACAATAATACAGTTGCTAAATTACTCGCATATATGTATATATGTATATTATACACGTGCAGACCGACCGTTGTTTCATCGGTACGTATATTAGGTTGGGTTAGAAATAAGAATATTTTTTTGCGCTTAGTACACGTCGCTTGACACTTTTCAAATAGTTAAAAGCGAGATTTGAATTTTTCTATCTGATAGTACAAAAAAAACAAAAATGGAAAACTCTAAGGCGGAGGACCTTGCCGTTAAATTAAGAATTCATACTTGGAGAAACTTTCTTAGAGGTGTCTAAGAATCTACTCTCTCTAATATATATACATATGTGCAGTTACTTTTTGTGCACATGTCAGAGTAGGCTATGTATTACAGTAGCACCATATATATGATATCTATGTATATATGTACATACATATACATATATTTATGTATAATTATGTTGCGGTAAGCTTCATATGCACTTTTATGTCAACGAACTGACTATTTTTGGATATTTTAAGCTTACTAGCACTGTACTGTGTCATCTGTACCACAATACAGATTCTTAGAACATCAAACTACTTTCACTGTAGTTCTTTTATGTTCAGCTTCTCTGCGACTTCTCTTCGTTTTAGTTGACATTTTAGTTTTGCAATTCGGCAATTGCAATATCCCTTACAAAGTCCTTTGAAATTGTTGTGCGTCTACATAGGGTGTAGCGTGGCGTAGTGGCAACTTTGCAAGTCTAATTTGTTAAAATGTTACAAGTAATTTATGTGCTTCACGACACTTTGCATGTTAATGTACTAGCGGTGGCACAACCGCATACATGTGTACAAGTGCACATCTGCCACGAATGTATGCAACAAGGCTGTAACTTTGGATATGCCACTCAATCGTACAAGTTTATATGAGTTGTAGCTTGGCAAAACCAAATTGTAACACATTCAAGTGTCTGACACACGCACGCAGACAACTGTATTTATTTGAAAATTTCAAGAGATTCCAAAATTTATACGCATATATGTAGGTATAAATGCAATGAAATGTTGTTTCATTAAAATGACTACGCTTTATAGCACACAATTGTTAAATTGAAAATTGAAATTCAACGTAACTTTTATGAATAAAAACAAATAACTTTGCTTAAGCTGTGTGGGTCACGTACTTCAGACTTCTGATTTTTATAGTTTCAATCAAACAGTTTCAATAAAAGTCGAAATGTTCGGTGGTCTCAATTTAACTATCAGGAAGACTGAAAATTTGAGTAAAAGAGTTTGTACATTGAGCTGAATCCATATGTTTCATAGTTAGAACTAACGCTCAAAAGACAGCTTTATAAATTATCAATAGTCAGTATAGCAGGCAGTATGTTATTTGTATGTTCGACAATGGGCGAGACAAGGCTCCAACTACTTAAGAAGAAAACTAAGTTAGTTAAAATATTAACCAAGACAATTAAGGTGTTAATTGAGTTCATTAAAATGTCAATTAATTAAGGTGTCATTTGAGAAAATTATAGTGTTAATTGACTCATATCCTATAATATTGGAACATATGTTTTTTAATGTTTTAACAGCAATTGCGAGTAGTCTGTTCTAATGCTTTATATATGGTTATGCCAGCTTTGAATTTGTAGGTAACAAAATACATAAAAGCAACCCACGAAGTGTTATTATAAATATGAAACACAAACACGTTTGTTCACCAACCAGATGTTCACTTCGCAGCTGTAGAGTTAACATTTAAATTAAAGCAAAAATTTTGTAAACGTCCAAGAACTGTATATACTACGCTTTGTTGCACTTACACTTGCAACAAAAAAGCAATTTGGTAATGATGCCCTTAAGTGACTGCGTATACATAACCATATACATGCAAGTATGTTGAATGCACACGGCTCATGTCTAGTCAGTGCAGAGTTGTATATATGTATGT